TCGAGTATATCCTCGTCCGACATGAAATTAGCCGCAAAAAAATCTGCCAAAAGATTGGCAGCATCCGAAATGGAATTTGCTGTATTCTCATTGTAAAAAACAGACCTGGGAATATGCGAAACCCCCTTTTTAGACTTGATATAGCGCCAGAAAAATTTTGGGTTACTTTTTATATTAGCTTCAAAGTTACCTATGTAGTTATTGTAACGAGCTTTATTTAGCTTGGCGAATTGGTTTTTGTAAGTAGAATATAACTCAAAACGTTTTAGATCATTGGTTAATCTGAACTTTTTAAAAAACTTATTTCTCACAGTAATATTGGAAGCGTTAGTGAGAGCAGCATTATTATTATCATCGATTTGCGAAGCGTCACACACAGGAACAGGTGGAGGAGCAGCCGACAACAAAACATTGTTGACATTAGCGCAAGACGTGACCGCTTCATGATCAAAATATTTGGATATGTTATCACTGTTAAACTTCTCCACAGCAGTAATCATACAAGAGCGTAGGTCACTCAACTCGGCCTTTAGTGAAGCGATCGCATCGTCTTTTTCATGCATAACACGCTGCATAGAAATAATATCATCGTGCATATTATCAATTTTTATCATTAGTTTGTTGTTTTCTTTGCGCTGAGCAGTAATGGAATTGAGAATTCGGCTATTGTCGGCTCGAAGAGAGACGATGACACTATACAAAGATCCCAGGGTTATTTGTTGCTGTGGCTTTTTAGCATCGTTTGCATTACTAGTAGATTGTTTTTGGGAAGTCGTCGATTTATTAGATCCCTGCGTTATTTGTTGCTGTAGGTTTTTATCACCGTTTGCATTAGTAGTAAATTGTTTTTGCGAAGCTGTCGATTTATTAGCACTTCTAAGAGAGTCAGACTTCGTCATATTAGAAGATGTAGCACTTTGCTTGCCATCTATGGTGGCTAGGTACAGGGGAGGCGAACGAATTGATTCTCAGCGCCTGTCCGCGCATACTTTACAAAAAAAACCTCTATCTGAGCTGGCAAGAAATTCTGCATCAGCGGGTTGTATACCAACACAAGTTAAATGAAAAAGTTCATTGCACTTAACGCACTGAATCGTTTGTCGAGACCGATCAACCTTTTGATCACATATGCACGGCATTTTTTATTACGGCAAATCAATGAATTTTTATTATTTTTATGTTCAATGCTCACGAAAGAGTCACTGTCTCATTTGTTATAGAGTTCACATTCGCACCAAATGCCCCATCATAGACAATGTGAAGATAGAGTATATCACACAAAGATCCACTTTGTTATTCAACTATAGCTGACGAGCAGAGAAAATACGTCCGCACTGCAAGACCGAAAAAATGCAATATTTTGATCGTGACCGGGGTGAAGTGCCACAATGCGCCCGAGTCTCCACTCGTTAGGGGGTGGAAGGTCGTCTTTGACGACAACGAGGTCGCCTTCCTTAATGTTGGGTTCTTGTCGCTTCCACTTATGCCGTTTATGGAGTTCCTTAAGATATTCATTTTTCCAGCACATGCTAAATAGCTGATGAATAACCTTAAATTTTTGCCATTTCTTTACCAAAGAAAGATTTTCAGAGTGGGGTTCAGGCATAGAGAGTAGTGGGTCACCACGTAAAAAGTGTCCTGGCGTTAACGCTAGTAGATCAGTAAAGTCCTGAGACAGGGGGGAAAGCGGCCTTGAATTTAACACAGGAGTGTGGTAAGTTCTTCGAAGGTAAACTTGTGATTTCCTGCTACCTCTGTGAAATGGGTTTTGAAGCTTTTTACAGCAGGTTCCCAGGACCGCCCATACGGTGGGATAAACTGCCATGAGAATCCGTGGGTTGCATATTTTGCGGCGATATCAGTAAGATTAAGAAACTGGGAGAATTGTCTTTGCAGCGTTCGCTGCGCACCTACGAAAGTCTTTCCGTTGTCGGACATGACGAAATCGGGCGGCCGACAAATCGGGTAAAAGCTACCTTGAACGCTTCCGTGGTCAGATTTGAGCATAGCTCTAAGTGTACTGCTTTGGTGGAGAAGCACACAAATAAACAAACATACGCCTTTGCGTGAGGAGCTCGTCGGAGCGTATATGTTTTTACAAGAAATGGTCCAGCAAAGTCAATACCTTGGTATGAAAGTGGAGTGTGTAGGTGGATCGTTCAGGAGGAAGCGCGGCCATTATCTGTGAACGCATCTTTTGTTTATAGATTGTGCAGACCGTGCACTGAAAAATGCATTTTTTTTATCTTATGTTTCAACCCGGGGATATAATATTCTTGCTGCACCACTCGAATCATTAGTTATTTGTCAGCGTGGAGAAGATTTGTATGGAGGAAATCGAGCAGTAGAGTACAGTGCTGTGAGTTTTCTGGGATTAAGTTAATGGACCGTTCACACGCATGATCCCTGATCTATCCAGCATCGGGTTCAATTTAAGCAGAGTCCTGTTTTTGCTGATGGGTTTAGATGCGGTGAGTGATCGAATCTCATTTGCGTAGTACATAAGCTGAGTTTGAGCGATGATACGGTTTTTTGCTTCGGTTATTTCGTCGTGAGTTAGGGGGAGAGAAGTGGGTATCGGCTGCTTTCTAGCTGCGTTTATAAACCGATAAATAAACGCTATTACTCGCAACGCTCGAGCAAAGGAGGAGAAACGCTCAAGCATATTAACAGATTCAATCGAATGCAGGGATTCAATCCGTCGTTGTTCCGGGGGTGCCGAATGTGGAGATGGGTTTTTTGGCCACGAAGCGGGAAGTTTCTGTAGCCATTCTGGGCCATGCCACCATAATGCGCATGTCGCAAGATCTTGGGGATGGCATCCGCGGGTGCCTAGATCGGCAGCATTCTCTGCACCAGGTACATGCCGCCAAGTGGCGCTGCTCACATTTTGGAGTATGAGCGAAATTCTATTGGAGCTCAAGTCTGGAGAGGCTGACGGTTTGCAGGGGGGCTACCTTACTTTTAGATGCGAGTATGTGTGACGAGAAAGAGTTTTCATCAATTTGTACTGCTGCTGCGCTGCTAGTCGAGAGTGACCTAGAGCTATGGTGTCTGGAAACTCAGGTTTGATTGGTAGATAGATCGTCTGTTTGCCGGCCGGGTTGTCGTGCGTCGATACAAGTCCTCACAGAACTCCTCTTCACTGGAACGAGGTTGAGTGACTGCTACTTCCTCCTGTTTCCAAAACTTCTTCAGGATTGAGTTTATCGATTCATCCTGGGTTTCGGTTACTTGGGTGATAAAGGTGGAGATCCTCTCCTGGATTGGGCCACTCAGAATCCATCCAAATATCGTGTTCTGCGCTATGAGACTTCCGCTTATGTTTTGTTGCAGCCCTTGTAGGAGAATTCGGGGGATTAGGTCACTGCCGACTACCATATCTATTTTATTTGGGGTTATTTGGGGAAACAGTTGGTCGAGTAGCCTTAATCGTTTTGTCTCTTCTTAGTTAATATGAGAAATATTTGAATTAGGAAGAAAATAGGCCAATGGGGGCAAAATAATGGCTTGGGTCTTTATTTTTTGGGCTCGATCTGCTGAGCAGAGTGTTATTTCGCACATTTTCTTTGAGTTTTGCACCACCATTCCAGAAATCTCGAATATGGCATCTGTCATAGGCAAGCGCAAGAGTTTTTGTATCCGGGATGACGTTAGTACTCGAAAAATGAGATGACACTTTATTGAGGTAATTTTTCTCTGGCGGATTATGTGTCGCATGTTTTGAGCAAGTGGGCGCTTCAGTATCCATATTAGTCCGGGTCGACAGCTGACTCGTTGTTTTCTGGGGGTTTGAATTGGGTTTTAGTTACTGGGTTTTTTGTGGGAAGTGTAAAAGAGAGTGATGTTTTCTTTGGCAGCATACACAAGTGAAGTTACTTGTACAATCACTCTTTAAATGGGAGTAAGAAAGGCAATTTTCACAATAATTATTCTCTCTTATGAATCTTAAACGGTCAAATACGGACAGTGCTTTATTTCACACATGTCTTCATGGGGCGCCTTGAGTTGCATGAGATCGGCTGATTTAGATCTACATGAAGATTTTGAGTTGTACTTATTATTATGAACGTAGAGTTTTGGTTCATCATTCTGCGGGTAAATTCGGGTAGGGGGTTTTGGTTTGCCTGGCCGATATGCATGCAGTCTTTCTACTACTTCATACCGGCTTGTGAGGAATTTCTTCATATCTTCTCACAGCGGTAACTCTTTCCGTGAGCTAAGTGATTGCTCCTATAGAGACAGAGTTTCACTAGACAGTTTTGAAGAACAAAAATATACAAGGATGGGGTCCCAATTGCTGGTCGGGATTCCTTGTGCTGAGAGGGTTTAGAGGCAATTGTTGATGGTGGATTGACTTTTCTGGATTTGCTCACCAATTTCTGTATATATGGGGGGATATTAAATAGAGCTCTTAATTGGTTGTCCACCAACATGCTACGGTTTTCGTACCGTGACTTTAAGGCATCCCCGGCTAGTTGAAAAATGTCGTCACTGATAAGGAATTGTTTGACTATTTGTCCTACCTGACTTCTGGTTTTTTTGCCTTAAATTCATTGGATCATGAAGAAATTAACGGTACTTCTTAATTTTTATGTGAGAATTGAAGTCGGTTGTGTTTTTTGCTTAAAAATTACTTGTTATTGTAACAATTCAGTTTTACCGAGCCCTACAGAGGAATTTATATTGCATAAAGTTTGTTATGAACTTATTGAAGAAATTTGTTAGTTACTTTAATTGCATGCAAATTTTAAAATACTTCGTCTTTACACCAAGATCACAACTATTTCATTATTTTTAACCGATTTCAAAAAAGGAAGAGGTTATCTATTCATCGGAGGGGAGGTCCATCATAATTTAGTTTAG